GTGTTAAGGACACACAGAGGGCGCTCACGCTCATGTTATCTATGTGGATGGCACCAGGGCCATGGATGGATTTGTGGGGTATATGTCATTTGCCACTAATGATGTTCCAGGTAAGCCCGTGTGGTCTACAAGACAGCGGATGATGTGGTGTTTTCAAGCATCAGGGAACACATAAGAGATGTTTATTACACTTTTCATCGGGATGGTGGGGCTTTCCTCAAATGGATAGAACACAGGTGTTGGCAAGCTAGTGGTCCAGAAAGCTCTCTTATTTTAGTATCTTTGTAACACTGCAGGCAATATTATCAAAGAGTGAGTAAAGGCACATATCTGTATGGTGGTCTTATTTTCTAAATCAAAATGAGAACGTTTTGATATGTGCGGTATTTTCCTAAGGTGAGCCGGAGTATAGACGATATCGTGTAAATTCAGTAGTGTTGTAATCTCAAGAGTATTGCAGTGATGTTTGGTGTAAGTCAGATTCTAGAATACTTGAATCTGACAGTACAAAATCTGGGAAGCCTGGTCCTGAAAAATACACATGACACTCAACATCGGTTCAAAGAACAAGGAGTATGATAGGGAGGAGGGGATAATCTGTGAAATACAATTCCCTGTCTGGTGACTAGAAATGGACGAGACCTAAGGTGTTGGGGGGCTCCAAGGGAGACACTGAGCTCTGTCGCTGTATTTATTAATAGAGCGACTTAGGGCTTTGTCTTGCCAGAAGTTACATGTGGATGGGGTCAGCAGATGCAAAATGTCTCTGGTCTAGAGGAAGACCAGTTTACCATGATGCCACAGTTTACCCGTTTTCTGATAATTGGTGGTTATTCACCCCCTTCCCCCAGTGGAGATGAGGAGGTAACTAACATAACGGGCAATCCAAAAAGCCTCTCTCCTGATGCCTTTATGCGAGTGGAACCATGGCTTGCAGATTTCCTTTAGCTTTCTTACATTGTACTTGTACATTGTACCTGATTGCGATAGCATTACTAGGACAGGATCAGGTATAGGGGACACAGGGTATGTTTTTCCTCTGTGATAAATGGCGGCTGATCCGGTGACTGCCATTATTTCCTAGTGGATAGAGGCAGTGTCAGGAATAGTGCCAGTGGGCTTGTAGGAGACAGACACGCATCGTGTAACTTGAACTGAAGAGGTCTGTGCGGCACAGGGTACAGAGAGATGCAGCCTGAACAGAGCAGGAAGACACGGGTGTATGTAGAGGCCGTCCGTCCTGAGGACATGAGAGTGTGTGTGGGGACAGGGCCAGGACAATACAGATGTGGGTGACAGGCCTTCTTAGGCCTGTAGGAGCCAAGTTTCACAAAGTGTTTACGGCGAGCAACTATAGTTATTTAATGTGTGGTTGAGAGAATAGGGTCACGTCACAGTATCATCCATAGTGATTATAGTATTTTGTACTGAGGTCTAGAAATAGGGAGCAAATCACCCACCGTGTCAGTTAACTGGAAAAGGACATAAAAATTCTTTTACGCAAGTATGCTTATGTTAGACGTGGCTCTGTGCCCCATACAGATGGGATCTGGGTCTATGGGGTGGCCAGGAACCTGTCACACGCTACATCTGCGGGGTGGCTGGGGGCCTGTCTGTTTGGTTATATCAGGCTCTATTGCGTAGAAACTGCAAGGGCGGCTTATGGCCTGTGTGCACGTGTGGATGGGTGCCTGTGCCAGTGTGTATATGTGTGTGCAGTATCTCAGCAGGACAGCAGACGTTTTGGGTGCTGGGCTCCCACATTAAGCCTAGAGAAGATAGGAAATGTGCGGGTCCAAGGGCAGCTGTGGGTTCCGTAGGCCCCTGGGACCTTCTCTAGGCCAGCCACCTGCCAGCTTCTTCCAGCAGGACTTGGGGCTGCTTCTCACAGACTTGCGTCGGGAGACCTTGGTTTGAGTTCACCTGTACCATTTGCTTAAGAAGTCTGAACAAGTGCCTAGGTTATGTGACCTTCACTTTCCTCATCTGCAAGTGTCTCTTGTATGTCCCTAAAAATCCTTCCAGGTCATGAATCCTACATTTCTCTTTTCTTCTTTCTCTTTCCTTAGCAGTAATTACAATCCCTAACGCTTCTGTGACCCTTAAAGTTGACACTGTACATTTTAATGTTATTTGATCTTCATTAGAACTCCTTGCAAAGAAAGAATTTAAACCCTTTTTAAAGATAAGAAAATGGCCGTTCCAATAAATTGCAGGATTCCTACAACTGTCTGAAATTACAATGAGCAGAACTAGCAAGATATGTAAAAGACCGAACTAAAAATCGAGTGATGTTCTTTTAACTCTGTTTTCTTCCTCTCTTCATCCATGCAATAAATCTTTGTGGCAAGCAAAGGAAGCTGCAGGCAAAGAGACTGAGCAGCTAACATGGCAGTGTTTGAGCCCTGATGAAGTTCATTCTCTAGCCCGGAAAATAGACATGAACTTGGTAATTACAAGTGCAGTGAGTGTGAGAGAAATAAAGGGTTCACTGGGGCAGAAGAGGATGCCGGGCACAGGAGCAGCAGAGGCCCACAGCATGGGAGTAGGGGGTTCGGGGGCAGAGGGCAGTAAGGCAGAGGCCAGGCGTGGAGGGCATATAATCCAGGCTAAATGTTTGGGTTTCATCCCATTGGCGGTCGGAGGCCACTGAAGAATTTAAACTACAAATGGGGCTTTTCAGGATCACTCCCATGCAGAGCAGAGAATGCCTTGGGAATAGGGCAGGAGGGGCGCCTGGGTGACTCAGTTGGTTAAGCATCTGACTTCAGCTCAGGTTACGATCTCGCCATCTTGCCGTCCGTGAGTTCGGGCCCCGTGATGGGCTCTGTGCGGACAGCTCAGAGCCTGGAGCCTGTTTCAGATTCTGTGTCTCTCTCTCTCTCTCTGCCCCTTCCCCGCTCGCACTCTGTCTCTCTGTCTCTGAAAAATGAATAAACCTTAAAAAAATTTTTTTTTTTTTTAAACAGGGCAGGAGAAGCTCTGTGGAGGCTGGTGGCCAGGCTGTACCCCAGGTGGCCTGGTAACAGAGGACAGGAGAGCGCACCAGGGGCTAGCAGTGCGGATGGAGAGATGTGCACAGATGTGAGGTGCATAGGAGGTGGGCTCAACAGGACTTGGCAACGTGTGCGATACGGGGCAGGTGGGGCCAGGAGGGAGACAAGAATTTTGTTCTGTAATTGAAAACCATTTACTGAGCACTTAATGTGGGCCGGGTGTTGTGCTAGGTGGAGACAGTTGAGCGAGACGGATGTAGCTCTTGATCTTGTGAAGCTTACCCCCTGTTATTTGGGATAGATGGTAAATCAAGATGCACACAGAATGGTAACCGTACAAATGCTACAGAGGAGAAGTGACGTGAACGATCTCTGGTAAGTGGTAGACAGAGGGGCACAGTGACCTGGTCAGAGGACTGGGAAATCTTCCAGGGTTAAACCAGGAGTATGTAGTCTCGCAAATAACCAGAAAGAGTGCTAATGTTAGGAGTATCCAGTACCGACAAGAGCCACGACGTTGGCGATTGTGGGGGCGGTGGGTAGAGCGGTACCAGTGAGGCACGGATAGAGGCAGGTGGAGAGGTGAGGAGGTGAGGACCACACGCATGAACAATTCTTTTACAGTTTAGATGAGAAAGCCAGGGCCATGCTTCAGTTGTGGGATGGCTCTGACAGAGAGGGGGCGAGGGGTGAGAAGAAGAGAAAATCCATGCCACAAGAAGCCGGGCTAAAGAACACGGCGCCTCGGGGCAGGGACGCCTCTTGTGCCTTCAGAGCAGGAAGCAGGAAGAGTGGAAAGAGCCAAACGCAGAGCGCTCTGAATCACGAGGAGTGGAAGCCGCACCTCTCTCCGTTGGTTTCTAAATTCTTCGCAAGGTGGGGGACGTGGTATTCTTTTGGAAGTGAGAAGACAGGTGGGGAGGTCGATCTTCTGAGAAGTGATGGGAGGAGTTCATAAGGTTGAAAGCAGCGGGGGTGTAAGAGAGTAGCGGGTACCCACCCGGCAGGTGTCCTGGACCTGGCAGAAAGGGGCAAGCGCCATGTCTGCTCTGGTTCTAATCTACTGAGTCTAGTTATCATTCCGCTTTACAACAGCTGCTTCTAAAATTGCGTACAAAATTAATAATGAGTTATAAGGCCCTGCTAGACACTCTAGAAGAAAATAAGATGAGTAAAATCCAGACTGTACATAGGGAGATAACACTACGCCTGAGTACCTCGGACTCACTTGCTACAATGGCCGGACCTATTTTAATCCAATCAGCAGCTTTGGAGGAAGATTCCGCCTTCAGACTCTGCTTCTCTGGGCTGTTAGATCTAGGGTGTGTCACTCATAGTGTCTGGGAGTTATAGGGGACTGAGTCACGCTTGGTGTCCAGAGAGTAGACCGGGAGAGACAGTATGACCTAATGCAATCTAGAGAGTAATGACCCCTGGGAGTCCTTGGTGCTCTTTGACAACGGTCTCACCCTCTAATTGAATCATTTATTATCTGTCTCCTCCACAAGCCTCCATGAGGACACAGTCTTTCTCTGTCCTGTCCACTGAATGCCCCGCACTTAAATATTGGTAAATATTTATTACATGGGTAAATAAATAAGCCTACATACATTTTATAGAGGCTTTTGCTTACTTTGTCGAGTATCTTTTGTCTCAAAGAATGACTCTAAGTGGAACCAAAGAAATCCCCCACTGGTCCTTTCTGCTGTGTTCCTTTGATAGGTAGAAGCAGAAAGGGTGATGGACACTTTGTGTTTTGTTCCTCTCTAGGGCTTCGCCCTGATGCGGGCTGAGGAGCCCCCACTCAGGGCCTCAACCCCCATCCCTGCCATAGCAGAGCTCGGTGTTACCCCTGAAGCCCTCAGGGGGAGCAGTCAGACCGCCGCCTGGGGGCCCGAAGGTCGAGAAGGCTAGGCGCCATCCTGTACCTGGGCAGAGCGACGCAGACTCTCGGAGACGCAGCAGAGAGACCCAAGGGATGTGGACAGCTGTGCAGCTGAGAGCATGACCTCGTTCCCCAAGGAAGCCTCTGCAGGTGCGGAGACCAACCAGGAGGACGCTGCGGGTGAGACCTGGGGCACTCCAGAGCATCCGGAGGCGGCGCCTCAGAGCCCGGAGGACGGACGGGCAAGGACACGGGCTCCCGCAGAGCCCGGGGCCTGTCCTGCCCAGGATGAACACCTGGACGTGGTCCCGGTATCCAGTGAGCTGGGTGGCCGCGTGGAGATGGAATTTAGACCAGAACTCACTTCTTTGATTTGGGGAACGGAACGTGCAGAAGAGAAGGGGGAGACTTTTCCAGACACCTCTGCTCGGCCCAGATTTGGACCTGCCTGGGAAGAGCATCTGCCAGAAACCAACCAGCCACGGGGCTCCGTCAGGCAGGGGGAAGAGCTGCGGTCTCTGGGGGCGCAAGAAGGTCAAGGGAGAGGGGTACTCGAGGGGCTGGAGGAGCAGGGGCTAGCGGAAGTGGGGTTCCAGGACGGAGGAACTGTCAGGGAGGGTGGGCATGTAGGGGAGCAGGAGCAACTGGCAGAGCCGGAGAAGGGGACGGAGGGAGAACACGGGCAAAGCCAGGAACAGACACCGGGTGATGTGATGCTCACAAAACAGAGAGAAAGAACGAGGCTTTGTGGGGAATTGGAAAGTCTGCGCTATGGTGAGGAGGAGAGGAAGTCTCGGGGCCAGCGAGGTCTACAGCAGGGAGAGGAGGGGAGGAGGGCGTTAGGGGGGACAGAAGAGGGGAGCGTGGACGCCCCGTATGAGGAGAATCAAAGCCTGGTGGGGAAATCAGGGAGAGTAACTGGAAGGCAAGAAGGTCAAGGTCTGCAGGGGCAAGTGATGCCGGGGGAGGGGCAGGTAGAGGAGGCAGGGTCAAGTGAGGAGGAACCAGGGAGTTGGGTTGGGGACCCGCTGTGGGGAGAGGGCAGACAAGAGAGTACCAGAGAAGGGGAGGCCCATGATGGTGTTTCCACACTGGCTCTGGTAGCCCCTGAGGTCTCTTCTCCCTGTGACTTATTTCTAGACGCCTGTTACCCCATGACCAGTACTCCTGGGACTCAGAAGGAGCCTCGGGCTGAGGAACTATCCCCTACAGCTCTGGGTCCTACACTGGAGCCAGGAGGATGGTCCTGCCAGCCCGTTTCTTTACCTGGCTCTTTTCCTGCTGGGGAGTCACCTGACCAAGAAGCAGCTCAGGATAGCCAGCAGGAGGGATCTGAGCCTGGGAAGGGGACGGTGTTCGGCTTGGGGACTGAGATGGCCTCTGCCAGTACAGCCGGGACTCCTCCAAGGACACCAGACTCAGCTCCTTCCAGTCCTGCTGAAGTTTCCCCCAGCACAACTACATCATCATCTGCCAGCTCCCCACTTGCCTCTCCCAGGAGGGAGCCGTCTCTTGCTGCACATTCTCTAGAAACCTCCAGAGCGTCTGTTTGGACCAACAGGGCATCTCACTGTGGGGCTTTGGAGACTCCCGCTGCTGCCCTCCATGGCTTCCCCTCTGCAGAGGCCGCTGTGGAAATCTCCACCAGCTCCAGTTGGACCAGCCCTCAGAGCCCCCCCAGCCACCCTACAGGGGCTGTCCAGCACCTGAGGAGCAACTCCTTCCCGGGCTCTCATAGGACAGAGCCGACTCCGGACCTGCTGGGAATATCACTTTCCTTCTCCCATTCAGAGTTGCCCCAGAGGCCCCCCAAACCTGCCGTCTCTGGCTCTGTGACTCCAAGAAGGGACAGGAAAGGTGGTAGGGACCACAGGATCATTCCAGAATCCCCTAGTTCATTATCCACTCTGGGGCAAGACTCTCAAGAATTCACTTCAAATCCAGAAATGTCCAGCAGTCCCCACAGCAGCCAGCCGTGGGGCTCCCCACACACTTCAGCCTTTTCCCCAGGGCCTCCTGCCTATGGCTCTTCCCCACCCCTTGTCTCTGTAGATACGAGGATCCATGAACCTCTGCCCCCTCCTACCCCAGAGAAGAGGCATGTCCAACCCTCCATGGTGGAAAGAGACAGCCATCTCCATGCAGGGGTTTCCACACTGAAGCGGTGTGCCCATCCTCTTCCATTGGCCCCAGGTTTGGGGCTACATGGCCCCCCCAAAGGCCCACTTCCCCCAGTTCCTGACCCCCTTGTGGCAAGGCAGCACCGACCTCTGCCCTCTATCCCAGACACGCCCCACCCTCCTCAGACCTCGTTCTCCCGCAAACTGAGATACAACAAGCCATTACCCCCAACCCCTGATTTGTCCCAGTCCCACCATCCTGTTTCTTTTAGTAGTGCAAGGATCTACAGGCCTCTACCCCCTGTCCCTATTATGGATCCCCCCACTGAACCACCCCCATTACCCCCAAAGTCCAGGGGGAGGAGCAGGAGCACTCAGGGAGGACTCATGAATTCAGGGGGTCAGGGCAAGCCAAGGCCTGTTTGTCAAGAGTGGACAGTCTCCACTCCCCATTCTGTTGGACGTACCTCCTGGCCCCCAGCTATGGGTCGGTCGACAGACTCTTTGGCTTCTACCAGCAGGAATAAGAGTGAAGTGTCCCCTGGCATGGCTTTCAGCAACATGGCAACCCTTCTGAGTCCCTCTTCCCCAACCACGCCCTGGAATCTGGAGCTCCAGGGACCTGCCTCTGAACCAGGACCCTCAGAAGAGTCTGAGGCCCCTGCCAGAGGGTCTTCGAGAAGAACAGCCCCTCAGGAAGGAGCCAATGGCCTGAGGAGGTTGGATCGAGGCCAAGCAAGGCAGTCAGACAAACTCAGCCATCCCCACCTGGAGAAGGCATCCAGCTGGCCCCACAGGCGAGACCCAGGGAGACCCCCGGAGGGCGGCAGCGGGCAGGTTGCAGACCCTGGCGAGGGGTCCAGTAAGCACAAGGGCTGGAATCGGCAAGGCCTGCGCAGGCCTTCTATCTTGCCTGAGGGCTCTTCAGGTGAGCAAAGAGCAGGGATCATGGGGACACTCGTGTCGGACCACGCTTTCTCCAGCTCTTTCCACCTCACGCATCTTCTGTCCCCAGGGCTTCTGCTCTTCCCTCTGCTGGCTTCACTCATCCACATACCCAACCTCAACTCAGAGTGTTGTGGTGCTCACTGGAGCACTCTGCCTTCTCCTTCCCCTCTACCCCTGTCACCCACCATGGTGTTCTTTTATTGTGTTTGTTTTTCCCAACTCTTCAGCTCGGTGTCCTCCTAGTAGTAGAGGAAACTTCCTCTTCTTGTCTTCTGACACCAGGGATGAGGACATTACCCGGCAATAGTGTCCTCGCATGCTTTCTGCTTGGGCACTGTCCTCCCGGCTGAGCCCTCATATCCCCCCAGATGCCTACGTCTCCCACTTTAGGTCTTTCCTGCTTTGGCCGTCAGAGTGTGCCTCTAAAACCCCGTTACTCCACCATTTCCATTTTCAGAGACGAAAGGTCCAGCCGTAGAAAAATCCCCTGGCTCTTCAGACACCATCGTTTTTCGGTGAGTCATGTTTTCTCCTAATAGACACACTTGTACTGTCTCTTCTGAGGATACCGAGATTTCCATTAGTTGCCAGGGGTTCTGGGACCCTGTCTCTTCCAGAGATGGGGAGGGGAAGAGACATAGACCAGGATTCCAGAGCAAGGGCATCTTTTATCTTCCTGGTTCCGTCAGCTGGGTCTGAATCTCCCATCCTCCTAGGTAGGCCCGTTAGCCATGAACTAACCGCCCCGTGAAAGTTCAGTATGTCTTCCAGAAAAGCTCTGAACTGCCTAAAAATGGGTCGGGCCACAACTTGCCTCTTCAGGGGATTCAGCCCTGACACCCCAGCACACATCCCAGAAATCAGAGACTACCTCATCTATAGTCACCTGGGGCTTCTCTGCCTCAGTGGCCAGCAAGCACCCCAGAGCCCTGCTTGCCTCCACAGGGAGAAGAAACCAAAGGAGGTGTTGGCAGGCTTTTCAAGACGCTGCTCGAAGCTCGTCAACTCCTGTGAGTACCTTGAAACAAAACCGTAGACCCGCGTGGCTTGCTGCCCAGCACTGGCGCTCGTGGCTCCCCACTGCGGGGTGGTGATATCTGCGGGGAGAGAGGATTGCCAGGAGAGCCAGAAGCAGCTTGACGGCTTCTGTCTCTGTGCCTCAGCGTCCCCGTCTCTCTCGTTCTCTCCCTCTGCCGTGCTGCCTCGCCCCTGCAGCCCATCTGCTTTACCAGGAGTACAGCGATGTGGTTCTGAACAAGGAGATTCAGAGCCAGCAGCGGCTGGACAGCCTGGGAGAGGCGCCCGGGCCCGCCTCCCCGCGGCAGCCCCGGAGGGCCCTGGTCTCCTCGGAGTCTTACCTGCAGCGCCTGTCCGTGGCCTCCAGCGGCTCCCTCTGGCAGGAGATCCCGGTGGTGCGCAATAGCACCGTGCTGCTCTCCATGACCCACGAAGACCAAAAACTGCAGGAGGTACCGGGCAGGGCAGGGGCGGACTGGAGGGAAAGCAAAGGCTCTCATTTCCTGCTCGCTACCGCCACCGGCAGCAAGAGCAGGCTGTCCCCATCACAAACCCACCATGTGCCCCTGCACCACGGCTATCGCTCCTCTCCGCTCTGATGCGTCTGAACTGCTTTCTGAACCTTCCCGCTGGCCCTCCTCCCCGCTTGCACTCGGCACGGGCCACTTCCTCCCACCTGTCACTATTTGGGCTCGTAGGAAGTGACTGTGCCTCTGAATTTGTTGGGAGGAGTGTGGAATTAATCCCTTCTCTGCTGCTTCAGTCTAGGCTAAAATTTCCCTCTTCAACCAGGGTTCCACACGACACTGGAGGTTTTCTCTTCAACCAAAGCACCTGCAGTGGCTCTTTTGCTGAGTCCTTTGTAGCTGTCCTGTGGTCCACTGGTCTCCTAGAGGCTTTGGAATGACCATCAGTTCGCAGCTCGGTCCTTAGACCCAGTGGCAAGGCTGTTCGGTGTTTATTACCATTAATAGGTTTTACGTGGAGAACTGCTCTTAATAATCAATCTGAAATAGGGTTAGAACCTTTCTTCCCAGGAAGACAATATGGCACCATGGAAAGGCATCACGGAATCATGTTTGTGTATCTGGCTTCCAGAGTAAATGACCTGGTTGTGAGCCCACTTCTCTGTTTGCTGGCTCTTTAACTTTGACCAGATTACTTGCTCTTTCTACCTCTCTGTATTGCCATTCGTAAAACTGGGTCACCAATAGTCAGTGGGAGAACCAAAAAAGGTAAGTGCCCAATGCACAGTAGTCACCCAAGAAATGTTTTCTACTGTACTTTAATTTCAAGTCAGGCCAACCTGGGTGTGAATCCTGGCTTCACCATTTACTAGCTGTGTGACTGCAAGTTCGATAACTTCACTAAATCTGTTTCCTCACCTAAAACTCGAGGATACTGATGTCTTCCTTTCAGGGTGGCCATGTGGTTTAAATGAAATGTCCCTGTCTGGATTTTAGTGTGAAGTCTGGTGCCTAGTTTGATACATATTACTGCCAGATTCTCCCTCTCTCGGAGGTGGGAAGGAGGAAAATGTTGGCCAGAAGGACTTAGAGATAAGCAAATCAAACAGAGGCAGCTATAAATTGTTTAGGTTTTTTGAGGCTCAGGCTTGGGGCTCTTGTTCTGACCTCAGCTTGTCAAGCATACAGAGGATATGTAGAAAGTCAGTGATCTGCCCAATACTTAAGGACCAAACACCAGGAGAACGTTTGGACCCTGGCTCTCTCACCAACTCCAGCATACTGGGGAGCCCACCAGGGCTGCTGGGCCAGCCCTGGTCTCCGTTTCTGAGAAGAGAAGCCTCTGTGCTTATATGCACATAGTCCTTTCATAAAATAGCACTTCCGGGGTCTACGAAGTGCTTGCACCAACCCCATTTCTGGTGACTGGCACAACGTCCTTATGACATGGGGGTCACTGTACCTACACAAAAAGGCAAGAAGCTCTGAGGTTCAGTGAGGTTAAATGAGCCACTCCAAGTCCTGTCGCCAGTTGAATGTTGGAACCAGGACTCAACCGTCATTACCAGGGTCATTACCCAGGTGTGTGCGTGTGTCTTCTTTGCCTTTTCTGTTCTGTTCGTGCATCTACCCCGAAGCTGCAGGCTTGGATGAAGAGTAGGGGTGGCCCAGCGCAAGGACAGGGCCGTGAGCCATTGCGCCCCCTGCTGGAAAGTCCACACAAGTTCTCACGTGCTGGCCCTTCTCCATTAAACCTCAACAGCACCAACTCGTTCTCAAATATCCTCTTTGCGCCCGTGTTTCCCCAAACCTCAAATCACCTTCATCCCCTAAATCTGTTCCTCTTTCAAAGTCCTGTGGCTCAGAGAGTGAGTCAGTCCGCCATTCATTCACCTACCAAACTCCAAAGCTGACACATTAGCTGTGACTCCGTCTGCTCTTCCAGCCCCCGTTTCTAGCAAAGAACCAAGTTCTTCCGAATCTGCCTCCTCAAAAGTTACGAAACTGGCCTACCTCTCCCATCCCCGTGGCCATTCAGGCTTCCATCTGTCACCCGGAATTACTACGACAGCTTCCTAACGTGACACCCCTGCCCCTTCGACTCTTTTCTCCATGCCGTGCTCAGAAATAGCCTTTACAGAAACCAAATCTGATCAGGTTATTTCCCTACATAAAGCCTCTTTTAACCTTCCCGTTGTCTTAAGTCCAAACCGTTTTACCTTGTTTACGGAATCCTCCAGACAACACCCCATTTACCTCTCCAGCTCCAGCTCCTGCCACTCCTTTAGTATAAATACTTAGTTCCCCAAATCACTCAGTTTATTTAAGCTTCTTGAAAGTATCTTTTTCTCTTCTACCTTTAGGGGCTTGTACACATTCTTCCCTCGGCCTCAAATGCTCTGTCCCTGTCCTGATACCAGGTTAGGCTCTGATGTGACTGCAAGCTATCAGAGAGGGTCTGCCCCCTTCCCTGCTCTGCCCCTCGAACATTATGCAGTGGCTAGCAAATGCCAGGAACTCCAGAACGATTTTATGTTATGTTATGTTATGTTATGTTATGTTATGTTTTTTTTTTATGTTATTTTAATGTTTATTTATTCTTGAGAGAGAGAAAGAGCAAGCCTGAGCCGGGGAGGGGCAGAGAGAGAAGGGGACAGAGGATCTGAAGCCAGCTCCGTGCTGACAGCAGCGAGCCCGACGTGGGGCTCAAACCCACAAACCGTGAGGTCATGACCTGAGCTGAAGTCGGACGCTCATCCGGCCGAGCCACCCAGGCGCCCCTCGGTGACTATTTTTAATCAATCTCCTCTCCTACCCTCCAGGCCAAATTCGAGCTGATCGTGTCAGAAGCCTCATACCTGCGCAGTCTGCATGTGGCAGTGGACCATTTCCAGCTTTCCACCCCACTGCGGGCCACCCTTACCAACCAAGAATACCAGTGGCTCTTCTCTCGTTTACAGGACGTGCGTGAAGTCAGCACCACGTGAGATTCCTCTTGTCCCAAACTCAGCCTCGGTGTCTTTAGCCTGTAAACTGTCAGTTGGGTTTTCTTTTCTCCCAGAAACCCTCTCCTTGCTCTCCCTCCATGATTCCCAGCGCTGTGGGAATAGGGAGAGCAAAGAAGGGGAGAAGGTATGCGGGTGGGTAGATCCGTTAACGGGTAAACAGAGGAATGAGAGATGCTTCCCAGGTTGAGGGGATGCACTGGAGGTGGGATATGGGCAACAGGTGAAGGGCAGAGAGCCAGAGCAGAACCAAAAGAAGAACAAGAAATGGAATATAAGGAGCAGAGGGTTAGATCGGGGCAAACTAGGGATTGCCTTGGAGAGAACGCTAGAGCACGGCAGGGGCACCGAGCTAAGGACAGTCAGTAGAAGTTACCGCCTAACAGGAAGAAGGAGTCACAAACTCAAGGTGTAGGAGGGGTCCGTCAGCTGCTCACGTGAGGCCCCCAAGTCTCATGAGACGTGTGTGAATACCGTACAGGTTCCTTTCAGACCTGGAGGAGAACTTCGAGAACAACATCTTCACCTTCCAAGTGTGCGATGTGGTCCTGAACCATGCCCCCAACTTCCGCCGGGTCTACCTGCCTTACGTCACCAACCAGACCTACCAGGAACGCACCTTCCAAGTCCTGCTGTGAGACCTGATCCCTATTCAGTCCCCACGCGAGCCCTGCAGTGACCTTGCTGCACTAAAACCCCCGGGCCCCAATCCCGAGCAGCATCCCAAGAGCCCATGTTTCTTGTGCCTGCTCTGTGATCCCAACCCCTAAGCACCTTCCGGGTCAGACGCCCTCAGCCGTCACATGTGGGTGCCCCCACCATAGACATTCCACTGCATCTCTACTCCCTGTGCCTCCGCTGTGTCCCCAGTCCTCCCCACGGCCCTCCTCACTGGAGGCTCGCTGCCCACGCAGGAACAGCAACAGCAGCTTCCGGGAGGTTCTGGAGAAGCTGGAGAGCGATCCTGTCTGCCAGCGCCTTTCCCTCAAGTCCTTCCTGATCCTGCCTTTCCAGCGCATCACCCGTCTCAAACTGCTGCTTCAGGTACAACACGTCCCCCCCCTCCCCCCCACCGCCGCCCTGTCCCCTAGACCTCTTCCTTCCACCCGAAAGAGATGATCTCCGGGAGCCCCAGGGCCCGGGACCATGCATGCTTCTGCCCCTCTTCCACACCCTGTGGACCACGTGAGCCTTCTTCTGCCCACCGCCCTCACCGTTCTCCCTCAGGGTGAATTTGCTGCAAAAATTTGGTTCCTAGACTTCAGTAGCTTACCCACAATTCTCTCTTCCTGTTTTCCCGTCCCTTCTTTCCATCTGGCTCCTGCTTACTGTTTGTCCTACAGAACATTCTGAAGAGAACACAGCCTGGCTCTTCAGAGGAAGCAGAAGCCACCAAGGCACATCATGCCTTGGAGGAGGTAAGCAGCCACCACCCCCACTCAGACGCCCAGGATTGTCCTTCGCAGAGAATTCTTCTGCGCAGGCCCGTGACTCCAGAGAGCAGGGGTCCCTGCTCATGGGATCGCTCAGCCACCTCACTGTACCCACCAAACCTCCAGACACCAGCCCCCTCCCCCCAGCCTCCTTCCCACACTGAGGATGCTCTACACCAAGGGGCCATGCTGTCACTGCCACCAGCCCCAGATTAAATCTTACATCCACTCCGCCCCGGAATGGCGTCAGGTCATACAAAATATACCCGAGGCCTAGAACTGCCATTTGGTGCTGCCCTCACACCATTCCAGCCTGCTAGAAAAGACGGAGGCCGTCGCAACCAACTTCCAGATTTTTGCAGAGGACTCAAAGATCAAAGCCTCTAACACAGTGCTCTTCCTCTTTCCTCAACCTACCCACGGTTCAGCTGATCCGAGACTGCAACAACAATGTCCAGAGGATGCGCCGGACAGAGGAGCTCATCTACCTGAGCCAGAAGATTGAGTTTGAGTGCAAAGTGAGTTGGTCCCCTGCACCCCCACCCTGCCTGGGAAGCCGCCACAGGCCAGCCTCTAGCGTAGAACCATCTTGCTCGCGCCGTCCCGGTCTCTGCCCTTACTACTGTGTGTCTTCTATTCTGGCCTGTTTCTGGGACACCCAAATGCCTACTTCAGTCTCTGTGGTATATTGTTAATTGAAAAGGGAAAGACACAGAGCTGTGCGTACCGTAGCATATTACTGTGGGTACAGATCTGTGCGTGCATTTGCTTGTGTCTATGTGGAGATAGGCTGGAAGGGACACATGAGAAAGGTAGGACAGGGGTTACCTGAGGGGGAGAATGTGCATTTGGGAATGGGACAGGTGAGAGAGAACCTATCAGTGTAAGCCTTGATGACAATAACATTTGGTACTTAAATCAGTCAATATTTGATCAAGTCTTCATCTAATCTAACCAACGCAATGTGAAATGGATTCCAAATATAGGGCCAAAATCTCCCATCAAAATACAAATATAAAATAAGCATTCCGCATTCAGATTCCACCTCAGAACAGGTCCCATCCTCATTTCCCTCGAAGAGAGGGGAAGCCTTTATCCCCGTATTAATTGTATTCCAGCACCCCGTCTTTACCCAACTTCCAACTCCGAGCAGACCCCACCTACTTCTCCTTATCCCTATTCCCACATATGACTCCAGCTGCTCCTGTTATGTCTCTGGTTATAATCCGAGAAAGAACAAATGTCAGAACTGCACAAATCCTTTAACTTCTAAGACACGCAGCATACGGTTCCCTGCTGTGTTCCTTCACATGCCTCGACTGGGGTCATCCGGTTCTCCTTCAGTTCAGGCTTCTAGGGCTGGGCTTTGTCACATAGTCACTGTCCTGGGTTGGAGCGTAGGCACCTTCTGTTCGCCTGATGGGTGGACGTGGGGGCCACACAGTAGACAGTGGTAGGTAGAGGGCTCTGGGAGGAGCAGTCTAAGTGGATGGGTGATGAACAGGAAGGATGATGTGGAAGAGGGTGTCAGTGGCGGAAGCCACGAGGAAGAGGCATGGTGAGGAGGGCGGGACCAAGGAAGCCTCTCGCTTGCCCTGTCTGTGACGCCCTGCCTTTTCTGTCCTCCCCTCCCTGTAGATATTCCCGCTCATATCGCAGTCACGCTGGCTGGTGAAGAGTGGAGAGCTGACGGCCCTCGAGTTCAGTCTCTCCCCAGGGCCGCGAAGGAAACTGAACACGCGTCCAGTTCACTTGCATCTCTTCAACGACTGTCTGTTGCTGTCTCGGCCCCGAGAGTCAGTGACTAGAACGGGAGGGAAAGGGGATGGGGCCAGAGGGCAGGACTAAAAGGGACAGTAAAGGGTCGTGTTCCTGGGGGAGCCCTTTTCAGTGGCTCAACCCATGGAGTGCAGGTCATGGGCTAGAGAAGAGAAAGAAAGGTCCGAAGCAAAAAAGGGGATCCCACCAAATTATGTCACAAGATCACGTGGCAGGGCCTGAACTATGTTGTAGACATGGAGCAAAATGTAGCAAATGAGCTGCTCACATTCTCAAATTAGCGTGTTTGGGCTAAACTCAGCCTACTAGTCTAGAGGTTCTTAGCCAATTCCAGATCCTAACTCTTTGGTCCTAAGGGCTTTAGAAAATTTGTATTGATTTGATCTCTTCAACTCTTTAAAGTGGTGAAGTATTCATTGTACTAGACATGTGGTTTCCCAGCTCTGTGACAAATCCCTGGGGACTCTGGAGCCACCATCTTGGGAACAAGGTAGCACCATCTCGTGGTTTTTATGAGGATTTGCAAGCTGCAAAGGACAGGGATTTTGAATCCAAAGGTATGATGGTGGATAAGCATAACAACTGTAGAATCAAGTTGAAAAGCCTCGTATTTTGCAGGGGTAGCCGGTTCCTGGTATTCGACCATGCTCCCTTCTCCTCCATCCGAGGGGAAAAGTGTGAAATGAAGCTACACGGACCTCACAAAAACCTCTTCCGGCTCTTCCTGCTGCACAACGCACAGGGCACGCAGACTGAGTTCCTCTTCAGCACAGAGACCCAGTGAGATGGGGCTGGGCAGAGGAGTCGGGGGGAGGGAGGAAGGGAGGACAGCCTGGGAAGAAAGTGGGGCTGAGGCAGAAACTGTGTCCAGAGGACAGCCGCAGCACGATCTAGCCCATTCCGGACTGAGAGCATCCGAGGAGAAATCCAAACCCAAACTCTGAGCTAATAGACGACTTGCAGGAGACGGGGTGGGAAGGGGTACAGAGTTGCTGCCGATGTTTAGCATCTATTTTCTGCTCTTCAGTCAAGAAGGACAAAGTGAGCGAGACAACAGAGAAGAGACGGGCTGGTATGGAGTAACTAAAGAATTGAATTACTGACGTCCACGAGTCATGTGTATAAGCCAGAAACTCTTCAGTGCCGAAGGCTGGTGGACACTTTGTGACTAAGACAAGCACTGGGGTGTCTTTAGCTTTCCTCCCTCCCACTTTCCAACCCAGGCCTCTGTTGAGCAGAAATCCATAGTGTTGACAACTGTGATTTGCTCATGTTTTTAGTAATAATAATAATAATATACACTATTATATATTATAATATATTATGTTATATATTTTATAATATATCATATTATATAATTACATTATTATAATAATATAATACACATACATTTTGGGGAGTATTAAAAATAATACCTATAAAATGTAGTAACAGTGCCTAAAACAATGAACAAACTCTAAGCTCATAGCTGTTGCTGCTGTTACAAGAGATACAAGAAGCCTCTCCCTTTAAAGGTTTGACATGATGCCAAACGGTCTGAGGATCGATCCCTATGTTGTAGATACTTTTCCGTTTTGTCTCTTGGAAGACATCTCTGGGTAGGATCGACCTTACCCGTCTTCACTTATGGAATAGAGGGGCTGGTACAGGGGTTTGTATGCAAACTGTGACCACAGTCAGGTAGCCAGATACAGACTCCTGTTCTTTGTTTAGTATTTGGGGCAGCCTCTTCCTGGAATAGAAATAGTGTCAGCTCTCAATTACTCCAGCGTTTTTGGAAGCAGAGGCTAAGATAATGCAAAATCCTTCAGATGATTACAAAATCAGCTTGGGTTATATTGCACGGCCAAAAAAAAAAAAAAAAATAGCACAGATATCTCCCCGATCTAATTGTGATTACAAAATATTTTTCATCTCTGAAGTATTTGGCGGAAGGGAGGTGGGGAGTAGAGTGTAGAGAATTCTGCAGAGTGATAGTGGGGATCTAAACTAAGATGGACATCTTGCTTATTACAAAATGGAAAATCTCATGTGTCTAATTGACAGCTGACATTATGTCCCCACTTGAAAGATATGCCATTAAGAGGGTAAGCCTGGAAAGAGAAGGAGAAAAATAAAGGGTGACAAAACACATTAACACACAGTTGGAGATCTTCTATTTCCAACCAAGCAAAGTCCCATTGACTTTTGTGCTTGATGTCATTGAACTAAACAATGCTTTGAACTGGCCAAGTCTTTCCCACAGTCATTTCCCTACCCCATCCTTGGCCTTTGTCCTCTACCCCAGAGCTACAGCTGAAGCAGCTGACCCTGCTTTGTTTTCTCAGAAGTGAAAAGCTTCGATGGATCTCAGCCTTGGCCATGCCCAGAGAGGAGTTGGACCTTCTAGAGTGTTACGGTGAGTGAGGGTATAAAAGGCAGAGAAAAATGGCAGGGCCAGAAGTCACCTTTGGATGCAGGACTTTAGGAGGCTGGGTGGTAACTCTGAGAACCTTCCACTTATTGCTTTTATCCAGAATTTCAGAGTGGAAGTCTGGCCATTGGAGCTTAAGCAGCTGAGATGATTCACCTAAGACTACTCACCACTATGGCACCACCTCCTCTGCCGTGTATCTTCTCCCTTGGGCCATAATTTGCTCTTTTTAAATATTTGTCCCTGTAAATCTATCCTGCGATTATTCTGCCTAGATTTTACCTGCCTGAACGTCTTGGGGAAATAGGGAGAAATAGGATGGTTGGAGTAGGAGTTGTGGAAGGAAGCAACCCAGTAAATCTGTCATAACCACACCCTCTCCTGTGAAGAATGACCTGAGCTCACCACCCTTAGCCCAGGCTTCCAGATAGCCACAGACATACACGCACATTATGCATGTGTCTGGCATTCATGTGAAGAGTAGATTTCTGGGTCTCCTAAAGCCCCACAGTTGTCCTTCAGCGAGAATTCCCTAACTGGTATCCAGAGAGGAACTGAACACAAAGGAACACTGGTGACTCAAAAGAACAAACAAATACAAAGAACCTCTGAAAAGGAAGTAGGAGAACTCAGGTTGTAAACTGAGTTCTGTTACCTTATTCACTCTGTGAACCCATCTGCTGGCCTTCAGTCCCCCAGCTGGAAGGAAGGCAAGATGTCCTCCTTCACTGTGGTCTTATGAGTGGCAGATTGGAGATAAGCTTTAGAAAATGGATCAGGGCGCCTGGGTGGCTCAGTCAGTTGAGCGTCCAACTTTAGCTCTGGTCATGATATTACAGTTTGTGACTTTGAGCCCTGCATCGAGCTCCCTGCTGTCGGCACAGAGCCCACTTCGGATCTTCTGTCCTGCTCTCTCTCTGTCTCTCTCAAAAATTAGTAAATATTAAAAAGAAAAGTAAATGAAATACAGACAATAATGCAGCATTCTGTTTGTTTTCTGAGGGAACCAGTGCAGTGTGGTAAAGGAGAAAGAGTGTAAGTTTGGAGGCTAATGGGTCAGAAGACCTCTGAGGCTTGTTATCTTGATCTTAAAAACTATGGAAATTTCGTCTGGCTCACAAAAACACAGAAATACAGAAAATCCAGAATCTCCCGAGGGGTCATCTTGATCAACCCAGTCGTTTACAAGTGGGGAAACCAAAGCTGAGGGGATTGAGTGCCTTACTTTGATTGTACCTGGAGCCCCATGGCTGCAGCTCTTCCAGCCCGATCTGGTAGGTACTGTGACAAAAATGGAGAATGAGTCACAGCTTCAGATTTTACAATCTAGTTGAAGAGGCAGAACGCATACACAAGGCAATTAGACAAGGGTAGATGGTGTGGTCTAGACAATTAGTGTTAAAGGAGTTCAGGATCCTTGGTGGACTGAAGAGTCAGGGAAAGTTACAGAGGGAAGGTGGGCCTCTAGCAGAATCTGAGTATTTGTAATGAGTCACTGAAGGTTGTTACAGTGGACTTCTCAATGCATCTTCCCCAGAGAAATAGAATTTTTGACTCATTTCAGTTCCAGTATTTTCATTTCCTTATTGGCCATTTTGTTTCCTGGTAGAGGAGAAAGATTCTTCTGTCTCACTTGTCTGTAACTTTCTAAAGCCCAGACTTTATCCTGAGTCCTCATATGCTTCCCCTGTAATTCCTCTTCTGGTCCAGTCATTTGCCTTTCCTAACCTCTCTTCGCCCTCTTCTCTTCCAAAGACTCCCCGCAAGTACAGTGCCTTCGAGCCTACAAACCCCGAGAGAATGACGAGTTGGCGCTAGAGAAGGCAGACGTGGTCATGGTGACTCAGCAGAGCAGCGATGGTAAGAGGGAGAGCCCATGAGTAAGCTGGGCGTTGGAGGTGGGACACTATAGGTAGATGTATTCATTTCCTAGGGCTGCATAACAAAGTACCACAAGTACGGTGCCTTAAAACAATAGAAGTTTATTCTCTCATGGTTCTGGAAGCCAGAAATCCGAGGTCAAAGTGTTGGCAGGGCCGTACTCCCTCTGAAGCCTTTCAGGGAAGATCCTTCCTTGCCTCTTCCAGCTTCTGGTGGCTCCAGGTATTCCTTGGCTTATGGCAGTATAATTCCGATATCTACCTCTGTCTTCCTTCTGTGTGTGTGTGTGTGTGTGTGTGTGTGTGTGTGTCCAAATTTCTGTCTTTTTGTAAGGGTACTGATTATATGGGATTAATGGCCCACTTTACTCAGTATGACCTCATCTTAACCTTACTAATTACACCCGCAACAACCCTGTTCACAAACAAGGTCACATTCTGAGGCACCTGGGGTTAGAACTTCAACATATATTTTGGGGGAAACATAGTTGAATGCGTAAGAGTAGTTCAGGAGTAGGCAGTTGTAGACCTTGCCAGACCTAGAGCAGCATGGTTAACATACTGAGAGACTGGATTTCCCAATGCTGGGGCCTCCCTAGTCATTTCAGCCTTACCATTCAGAAAAGTCTGGGGGAATTATTGTGAGTCTGTCCTGGGTAATTCTTCTTCCCACCCATTGCCTGTAGGCTGGCTGGAGGGCATGAGACTCTCAGATGGGGAGCGAGGCTGGTTCCCTGTGCAACAAGTGGAGTTCATTTCCAACCCAGAAGTCCGAGCCCGGAACCTGAAGGAAGCTCATCGAGTCAAGACTGCCAAACTACAGCTGGTGGAACAGCAGACCTAGCTTTCTCTGGGAGGAATCCCCTGAGCATAAGGACAAGATGTTCCTGGAAAGGGCTGGCCCCAGAACCCTTCAACAGATGCTTTCTGTGGACCAAGAACTAGACCTTCGGAAAACTCAAGAACAAAAACCCAGCTACCAGTTGCTAGTCCCAAACCTCCTGTTTTTGTGCTTTGTGCTTGGTGGAGGGATTTTGAAGGACTTTGCACTGGACTCTGAGAAGCTTTTCTCATAAGAAAAGGGAGAAATGGGGCCTAAGCCAAGGAACTTTACCTCTACTACCATATAGTACTTAAACATTCTCTGTTTCCAGAGTACAGATTCAGGGCTGACCAAAGTTAACATCGCGGCTACAAGTTAAACAGAATCTGATCTCAGTTCACTGGAGGGAGATGTTTAAGGGGGATTAACACATCAGATGAGAGGATCAAGCTAGTGACCTCTAAGGTGCCTTCCAACTCAAGAGATTTTCCCTAATTATTGGTGTGAGGTCAGGGCATGCATCTCTGGGATCTATGTCTGTTGGTGGCAATGTGAGGGTTGTACTCTCTCACGCTAATAAACTTGGCACTTCTCTGAGTGTTTTCTTCTCAGACTCCTGAGCACTGAACGGGGTTTGGAACATGGAATTCCGTGAGAATTCTAGGCCATTTGATTTAGGTACCATGAAAGACCAAGATGGTGCCTAGATCAGGGCAGATGCCAACTCTTGCTTTATGATTCCCAAGAGTTTGGGCAGCTTTTCTGTTTGTTACAGCCTCAGAGGTTGTACAAGGGATTAAAAGGAATTGACGAGTGGTAAAAACCCCATTCAAACCTTTTTTACTGAACCTATAAGTTAAGCATAGGTTAGTTCGAATGGATTTGGAAATCCTACTGAGACCATTCGTGATTTTATATTTTGACTTGAATTATGATGAAGGTATCTTCCCAGCTGTTTCATCCTCTTTGTGAAAAGTAGCGTGCTATAATGGAAGAGTCCTAGAACCCAAGTCAAGAGACCATCTTGCTGTACTGCCATAGTTCAGCCTGTCCATGTCTCAGTTTCCTTAAGTGTAAAAGGCAGGATTGGGCCAAGTAATCTCAAAGTCCTATCCAGCTCTGCAATATAGGATTCTCTATATCCTACTGGATTGCCTTCCTCGATTTAGCATCACTGTATGATTTTTCATATAGAGCCCTCACATAGTCACCTTTTAAGCTGGATCATTATAGTTCTTCCGTGGACATTCTGCTCTGTTTCATCTTTAGGAGTGCCCAGGAGTAGCATTGCATTGCAGCTTTGTGCAAAGGTAAGAATAATGGTGTAAATTTTGTCCTCTACCCAATTAAGGATGATACAACACAATAGTCTCATGTTTGTTAACACATTCTGTTTTCTACCCATCCTAAAATATAGTTTAGCTGGCTTAATTTTTAGAAAAGTTATCACTGTAGTAAGATGGGACTCACTTATCCTAAAGAAGTTGACATGACTGAAAAATCTAAAATAGGGATGGTTTTAGAGAAGTTCAATTGAAGTTTTCACTATTTTCATAAAGCCAGCTTTTTATTATTAATATATGATATATTAATATGTATATACTGTATGTAAATTAGCAATTGGTTCTTCTTAATAGCTTTAATAATTAACATAATCCACATTATTTGTTCAAACCACTATTTGACTACTGGCCATGTGGCTCAAACAGAGCCGTATCCCAATCTTTATATTTTCTAGGCAAATTCTCCCTTATTTTCCCAAAGAGATAAAATGTCAACTTCTGAATGATACACACGCAAATAATTTTCTTAGTTGAATGACTACTTCTTTGTTTGAAGTTGCTAAGGCTTTCTGGGTGTCTTTGAAGCTGACATTTGTAAGACTAAAACTGCCTTTAGATATTTAATATGTATTCATTTAATTGGGTTATTCTCACCTAATCTGGGAGATTAAAAGACAATTGGCTTCTGCCTGTCTTTTGTTTTAAAAACAAAAACCAAACAAAAACTTAGATATGAGTTATCTCTACTCAGTTGAATTGCTAAATTTTCTATCCTTTGGGTTTTGGAGAATTGGGTATAGGTCTACTTATTGTTTCTTCTTTCTTCAGATTTCCATAATTCAACACAATTTATTCTTGAATTCTGATTGACGTCATTATCTTAGAAACAGCAATTTCTGATAAGAGATTGTGCAAACAACCATTACCAACATGTTTGGGACAGAATTAACATCTGAGGCATGTATGAATATATAGTGTTTTTGTTTTTGTTTTTAAGCAAAACCATGCACATGGATAGTGTCTTCAAGAGACATCAAGGGTAGTTCTTTATCGCCCTTTTCTGGATTGTAACACGCCTGGAGCTTAGCAGATTTCTGCTGAACTATTTCCTTTGTGCCCTTGACCACACTGAATTTCCATCTATCACTTTTACCACTAACACAGCTTAGAAAGCTGTTCTTTAAAATTTATTTTCACCATTAACTCTTCACTTACAGTTAACTATGATCTTAAGTTTTTTATTGTGTACTATTTGCTCTGCTGTGGTTGTTTGTAATAATTTTAATAATTTCAGCCTACATGTTAATATCTGGAAGGCTCACAGTTTGAGATGTATTTATTTCCCCTAATTTTGTGTTCTGTGTCTGAAACAATTCTAGATCCATGATTCAAAACAAAGTGGATATTGGTCCCATGATGAGTGATTTTTTTTTTTTTTTTTAGCCTTTGGGATAGAAGTTGGTTAAAAGTCTTTGAAAATCTAAAAGAAAATATACTCACTGGCTCCCCTTCTTTCACACGTATATTTATTCCCTTGAAATGAGCCCAGTTTCCTCTGATCCCTTGTTGCTCTATCTATAATAGTCTGTACTCTTTTAAGTATTAAGTGATACTCCCCTTATCATAACTTTCTCTCGTTAGTGACATTAGAAATGCAGCAGTTGGGTACAGTGGCCTTTTCTAGACAACTACTTCTCACCCACCCACCCCAGGACACATCGCTGAGACTTGTGTTCTTCAAACCTCTACATAAATGTCTGTTGGTTCTATCACTAACAGTGCAGTGACCCTAGAGTTTCATTTGCTGTAAACATGACTCAGGAGCTGCGTGATTCCAGCAACTCCAAGGCTGGTGTTGAATGTAATCGTCTAACTCTGAAATCAGGTGTGGGGGGGGCAAAGGTTACCAGCCAATGAGCTAACGAGGAACAGATGCCAAGTTCAGTCCTGACTCAAATGTACTGAGAACGTTCTCTGCACTAGCAAGTTTTTGACCCACTTCTTCCAACCTTCCCGTTTTAAATGGCATTTACGGAGTGGACATTTCCCTAGCCGGTCCCTTGGAAGAGGGGGAAGCAAAGCATCCATTCATTCTGCCTAATTCCCAGGGAGCGTTGCAAAGAAACGAGGCCACGATCACAAAGAAGACTCAGGGAATGCAGGTGAGTGGACGAGGGTGTTTATTCCTTCTGGGTGGCCTGTGAGCAGAGAATGTGCGGAGAAAAGGAGCTGGCTTGGTGTGCCTATAAACTTTTTCCAAGCTGGCAAAGGAGCTTGGCGGGAGTGACTCTGATCCCTGATGCTTTGTGGATGAGTCATGGGCCTGAGGGCAGAGCCTGCTGCTGGGAGGGGCAGCACCGTCTGGCCCACAACCTTCCCCAGGAGCACCAATGGGCAGATAAATATTTTCCTGGCAGTTTACCCGCGCCTCTCAGAGGGCAATTATCTCTGAACAATGCAGATGGAAATTCAGAAGTACAGTGGGAGCCGAGTCAGCTTATTGCATGGAGGTGGATGCTCTAAATCTGCTCACAGACCGAGGGGCTCTCAGACACCAGGGAGAAAGCTCACAATCCTCTGGAAAAGGAGGCCGCGGGCAACAGAGAGGCCAGGGGTTACTGCGGGAGAGTCCACCAATTCAGCAAGAGGCTTTCACCCTCAGAGAAGCAGACGGTCCCGGGAGAAGGAAGAAAATGCAGAGGGCAGAGAAAGCAGGGACCCTTGGATGGGGCTCATCCAGGCACTTCCGGAGAGGTTTCTTATTAAGGTCAGCTTGTGGTGAGGAGGAGGGAGTCATCCACTGTTGGAGTCCAAAGAACCCTTGGGATCTTTGTGTCTCATGGCCTCACTTGTCACGGTAGAGCCTGGAGAGGGGAGGGGACTTGCCTACAGTCACACAGCCAGTTAGTTACAAACTAGGAATCTGAACGGCCCTAGCCCGATGTTCTCCTCTAGGATTTCAGCAAGTGTCTGTCATTGTAATGTTCGTGCTCATTACAAAAGGTTGAAGGGGACTTGCGATAAAATGCAAGGATTGAGGAAACAGAACACGGGTGGGCCGATTATTTCAGGGAAAGGGGGAGGAGGTGGAGGTCAGACACGTGGAATTGTTAGTAGCCAGATTTGGCCAGGCCACAGACTGGAACGAAGATAAGGTGTGGTTTTCACAGCTGTTTGTCATCCTAGCACAGGAGGGCCTTAAAGAACTAGCGGGTCCCCGGAGCACGTGTGCACGTGGGTGTGTGTATGTGTGTAAAGAGGCAGCTGTTTGCTTTTCGGGTAGGAGAGGACACAAGAGGATCTTTACTAGAACGTGGAATTTATACAGAGAGACGGCTTTCTCGCCTTGAAATACAATAACACTGGCACTAACAAAAGGAGGGAAAAGATGGAGTTTTCCAGTTGAACATCACGAAAAATGGATGTATAAAATATTTGTTAAAAACATTTGACAATAGTCCTTTAATTTGATGCCAGGGACATTTCTTAGTTCGCCGGGTATGAAAACGTACTTGGTTTCACCAGTTCAAATGATTGAGAGTTAAAGGAAGTAACAGAAAAGTCCACCCAAAATGAACAACGCATCAGAAGGTGGACAAATCGGAATGCCTGAGAACATTAGACACTTATTACTGTTGAGAGTTCTCAAGGGGGCCCTACAGATGGCAGCCCTGGCAGGCTACGGGGATATGGACTGGGGAAAGGGAGCCACGCTGGAGAGAAGGATGCCCTGGATAG